ATGATTTGAAAGAAACCATTTAATCCAGTTTAAAATTCTACCTTCAATTCCATAGGATTTCAGCTTTTGTAGCAGCCTAATGTGAGGAACTTTTTCAAATGCCTCAGCAAAATCTAGAAAGATAATGTCAACAGGATTACGTGATTTATATAGGTCAATAAATCCATAATCTCAAGTAAATTAGTAATACAAGATTTTCTATTTATGAAACCATGCTGACAATTTGACATAAGATTTTGAGACAGTAGATGCTGCATTATCTTATTTTGCACGACACAGAAGTAATGGAAACGGGTCTGTAATTGTTTGGATTTATTTTAGAACCTCCTTTGAACAAAAGAGTCACATTTTCTACAAGCCGTATCTTTGGTAACATGCCTTGTTCCATTGATTTTTGGTAGACCATGGTTAGTGGAGTTGCTATTATGTTAGAGCATGCCTTAAGTATGTAAAGACTTATCTGATCTTCACCTATACATTTATAACCATCAAGAGTAATAACATCGAACAGACTTATAATCAAAAGAGATGTAAGGAAATGATACAGCTGTTCATTTAGAGGTAAAGTTTGATTGTGAGGTTCAATGCTTAAGACAGATTGAAACTGTTTGTTTAGTGTGTTGGCAATAAAAACTTGGTCATTACTAATTTCACTAGTCATAGATGATAATGACACTATCTGGTTGCTTACAGTGCGTTTGCTGTTAGTATAAGCAAAATTTTTTGGGGGGTAAATTAACTAAATTAAGATAAATTAACTTTATAGGTACCAGGATTGCAAAAAAAAACAAATTTTTTTTCAAAAAAAAAACAAAAATCATAGGTTTTTTTTTTTAAAAAAAAAACAAACTATTTATTTTAAAATGCAGTATTTAGTTACCCTTTTAAATTAAAAAAAAAGCATAATGCATTTTATTTGAATAAACTATATTCTTTATCAATATTACTGTTATACTTCATCAAAATTATTCAATACATCATTGTTTAATGTTCTATATATAAATACAAGCTTTGCTGCTTTTTCTACCCCCAATTGGTTTCTTAACTTAGAATGATCAAGGCCAAAAGATGAAAAAATTCTTTCAATTCCAGCACTAGAAGCTGGTGCATTTAATAAACCCTCAATATCCATTATGTTACAATCCACAATTTTTAAAGATTTCCACCATTCTATTGGTGATACATTTTGAAAAAGATTTACTGTACAAATAGCTTTTATCGAATGGAGCAGATTTGGCTTTTAATTTGAATATTATTGGTAATAAATTCTTTAACTCTTTATCTGCGAAATTCATGGCAGTTTCATTTTCAGAAAAATTAGATCCAAAATATCTAGGATCTAGTGTGTTTGCCAGGAAATGAGCATCACTGACAATCTGAAGGTATCTAGATTCAATTTTTTTTTTTTTTTTTTTTTGATAAAAATGATCAACTGTTCATCAAATCTTTAAAAATTTCAACAGTGTCACTTTTTTTGTTTAATCTCTTTGCAACTTATCTAGAGCTACTCCAATTGGTTTTAATATTTTCAATAAATCTTCTGTGTTATGCTTTATCTGTATATCACTTACTTTTTTACCAATCACGGGATCCAAGTCTTTATTTTTTTCAAACATTGTGAAAATGATGCTCCAGTTGTTGACATATCTTTCAAGTGAATCACATACAGAATTTCAGCGAGTTTTAGTAGGAAGAGGCAATTGTTCCTCCGCTTGATTTATAAATTGCTCCAGTTTGATGATTATTTCTTATATATTTTATTATTTGTGTAACATGCTTTTTTTTTTTTTTTTTTTAATTATTCACCTCCCAAAGGCCCGAGGGGGCCACTACAGTCAAGGAGGCTACTAATTTTTTTTTTTTTTTTTTTTTTTTTTTAATTTTTTGTTGTAAATCGTGGTACAACCCTCTCTCAACTCTTTAACTTTGAAACACGAACCTTGACAAGCAAGACCGCTGCGTGGAGAAATTAAGTTGAGCACGGTACTTCCTGGGACATGGTGGGAGTCAAACTGGGAACCTCTCGCTTACAAAGCGAGCGCTCTTACCACTACACCACTACCGCTAGCTCATATTTTCAATGTTAAGATCATTTGCTAAAAGATTCAGCATATGAGCAGTGTATCCATAGGTTATAATAAAATCTCCTTCAGATGACAGTACTTGTCTCATTGATTTCATATTAGCTGCATTGTCAGTCACAAAGCTTTTTACTGTGCATCCAAATTTACGTCTTACAGAATCTATTGCTTCTCTTACTAATTGTATAAGATATTCACCAGCATGTGAATGACCAGAAGTGTTGATTGTTTCTACTAAAATATTAATTTTATCTGTAATTACAGAGATACAAATTATAGGTTCATTATATACATTACTCCAGCCATCTAAAGACATGGCTACAATTTTCCCATTCAATACATTACATTTTTTAATTTCTTCTGTGTAAACCCTATCTAATATTTCTCCTCCAATTTGAGTTCTATTAGGTAGAGTGTATCCTGGATGAAGCATATTGATAAATTTTTTAAATTCTTTGTGTTTAACTGTTCTGAAGCTAGAGTTTATACTATATATAAATCTACCAAGTTGCAGATCAAATAAATCTTTCTCTTTGAGACTTATTTGTGTGAAAAACTTATCAATTTTCAAATATTTATCAGCCAATGTTAAATTGGGCTGAGACCTTTTCATTTGTGTTGTGATGTTGATAGTGAATTACCTTTAAAATGAAATTGCAGTTTATTGAACTTTTCTAAGTTAATATGTCTATACGTTTACAATTTAGGCAAAGTATAAAATTTAAAATGACAATGCAGTAATTTAATTAACTTCAAGAAGTTATTGATCTTCAATTGACTCCATAATTTCATGGGGTTGTGATTGTTTGCACCTTTATATATGTTCATGCATCTTTTGAATTAGACCTTCCATTTCGTTTCTACACGCTTTAAAAACTGCTCTACACCCCTTTCTTTCTGGAACAGTCACTTGTGTATATTTTAACCAAATCATATCACATTTGTGCACAGTTTTTTGAGTTGTTTTGTGGTATCAATAAATTATGTTAGAACTACTTATACTTTTGCTAAACATATAAATCTATATATATATCTATCTATCTATCTATCTATATCTATCTATCTATCTATCTATCTATCTATCTATCTATCTATCTATCTATCTATCTATCTATCTATATATATATATATATATATATATATATATATATATATATATATATATATATATATATATATATATATATATATATATATATATCACAACAATAAAGTCTTCCTGTCTGGGAAGAAAATCACAACAATAAAGTCTTCCTGTCTGGGAAGAAAATCACAGAGAAGTTAATAAAGAGCTTTTAAAATCTTTTTAATACCCAAGTCTGTTTTGTTTTTCCCCAGTTTTGAATAATAGATGAATCAAATAAAGACTACAATACCTAGTTGGAATTAGTTTGTCCATGTCATTTTCGGCACGATAGTTTTTTTAACTTAGAGTAGAAAGCCTAATTTGCATTTGGGCCATCCATAGATACTTAAATAAGTTTGGTTTTATATAAAGATTTTAAACCCAATAAAAAAATTATGCAAAAAATCTCTACTTCGATTATGTCCAATATAAGTTGAGTCTAGGTAACAAGTACAAAACACTATCCCAATACTTGTTTGAAATACTATCCCAATACTTAACATCAAGATCCATCTGCCCCATTTGAACAACTGAGTTAAGACTTTCATTGAAAGAAACAGCATAAAAGTCTGACTTATCTATATCTCTAATAAGAACTGATTGAAAATGAGGAGGTATTCCAAAATTTATATATGAGCACTTTTTAGCTATAGCACTGTCAGGAAACATTGATTTAAAAAAATCGAAAGTCCATTACTAGAACAACAAAAAAAAAAATAAAACATTTTTAAATGTCCATCTGATCTCTGCATCAATAACCGAAACACAACATACCACTGAAGAGTGGAAACTTGAACTGTGTTTCCTGACAAAGTGGTTGTTACAACATGTATATTTTTTGATACATTGGTAAATGGTATATATGTTGTTTTTAAGTGATGAGACAAATGCTCACAATGCTTCTTTCCTGTTGAATGACTTTTTAACGCTTTCTGATCCATATTAGACAGTACAATATTAGACAGTTCAAATATATTTATTGGATGTGGACAAATTCTACATTTTGCTGAGTTATTTGTATCCCCACACATTAACCGAGCTTTATATTCAGATATTTGTAACCACTGATCATCAAAATATGTTGAGTTCATTATTTAATTTATTTAAATTTGTTCTAGTCTAAAGAAAATAAAAACAGCTGACTAATAACATCAAATAAGTTATTTACTAAAAACTAGCTACTAATTAAGCTCAAAAAAAATAACTGCTTTTCTTAGAGTTTAACTAAGTTTTTTTTTTAAAAAAAAAACATAATTAAAGTGCTTCTAAAATAAGATAAGTTATAAAAGCCCTGATTTTTCCCTAATTTTTCTAAAATTTGACTTAATTTTCCTGATTTACTTCTGATTTTTTTGAAGACATCTAAATTCCCTGACTTTTCCCTGATTTTTCTGATCTGGCAGACACTCTTAAAACATTTGCATTTCAATTTTTTTGCAACAAATGTTCCTTTTAAAAAAGCATTGCAGTTTCTTATGCAAATAATTTTTCATTTTAAATAAAAATTACTTTGTTTTTCATTTTAGTTACAATGATAATTATACTTTTAAGAAAAAAAATTATTTTGCAAGAGTCGTAAATTGCTCCCGTAAACCATTTTAGGGGACTGTGGGCAAGAGCGAGCTAAAGTTTTCGCTTTCTGCCAAGGCCTGATATATATATATATATATATATATATATATATATATATATATATATATATTATATACATAAAAACTGTTTTATATTTTAAAAATTTATTGATTGGTAACAAACACAATCATTCACAAAAGGTTCAATAAAAAAAAACTTACAAACAATTTAAGATGACGTGCAGCAACTAGGCCATCCCCTCCGTTATTACCAGGTCCACAGCATATTAAAACCTTTTTATTTGGATTTGATAAAGAGTCTAATGGAAATGATTTAGCAACAGCACTTGCAACACTCAAGCCTAAAGATAATTGCAAGCCTTAAATAAATAAATATATTTTTGCTTTCATTCAAAAAATATATATAAAATACTAAAGAGCCATCTGCATCAATACAAACATCAACTGAAGGTTTAAGCAGGTACAATCTACATATGAAATATAATTTCTATGTGGAACTAAATGTGAGTAATTTAAAAGAAAGTAATTTTTATTTTAAATATTTTTGGTATCATATTGTTATTATTACATATGGTCTCATATCCTCTGTTAAAATTTTATTAATAAATATCTGTTTATAAACAACATAAAATATTATATGCAGGGTGTATACTTAATTTCTGACCCCCTATGTCTCGGTTTAAGAATACGGTATTTCAACACATACCATTTTATTACTGTCATATCAATTTAATTAGACAAAGAATATATGTTAATAGTCAGTAATCAGTATTTTGTCCATTTCTTTCTATGCATTGGGTAATTCTCCTTGGCAGGCTTTCTACTGGGCGAAAACACTCTTCTTGCGTAATGGCAGCCCATTCCTGTTCAACATGTCTGATCAACTGTTCACGATTACGAGGTCTAGGATTGTGTAAAACACTGTCCTGGAGTCTTGACCAAATATGTTCGATGACATTTAAGTCAGGCGAGTTGCCAGGCCAGTCGGTCCACACTGCTGGAAAGTCTCTTTTGATCACATTCATTGTTGCTCTTGCAGTGTGGCAAGTTGCTCCATCTTGCATCAGAATAATTTTATTTCTCACAGGAAAGATGGTCTTATCATCAGCTGCACATTTGTACACAGGTAGAATAATATCACAATAATATTGTCCATCAACAGTTTTATTTTGCTCAACAACAACCAGATCAGTTTTGCCATATCGAGAAATGCCGCCGGCTATCATAATCTTGAGACCGAATTTCGGACGCCGAACATAAGGTATTGACTCTGGTGTTGCTGTACGTACTCTTTGATTTTGACGGTTTGGAGCCGGATATAATTCAATTGGACTCTCATCAGTCCACAATACGTGAGCTCATTTCACTTTACCATCCGGTGAGTCATCTGTGAATCCCTCTTTTTGCAAACGAGTACAAAAATTTACGCGATCAGTGATGTTTTTCTGCGACAACATGGGTTTCACTTTCTGTGTATAGGCATGCTTTCCCCATGTGGTCTTGCGCAAGTATTTACTGATAGCACTGTGTGAAATTGTTTTTCCTCTTTCTTTGTAACTGTCTGAAAAATTCAGTTTCTTAGCTACAGTTCTCATTCCAACTCCGACTTTGTCTTTGACCCACTTTCTGACCTTGTCCTTGGTTCTTGGTGAAAACTTTGTTAGCTTTCCAGGTTGCTGAGCATCTGTGATGTCACCCTCTTGTTTTCTTGCCCACTTCCTTACAGTATTTCGAGAAACTTTACACTGTCTAGTGATTTCTTTAATGCGTAATCCTTGACTACATAAAACTTGAATTCGGTGACGAAGTAACTGTTTATCAGAACTCATTTTCAGAGTAAATTGCTAAAAAACACAAATACATTTTAGTAACATATACATATAATACATATAAATACACACAGATGTAAATCATAAACAGACACCAAGTATCACTGATATAAATAAGGCAAATAAAAATAATGCTGATTATTTCTTGTAGCCAAAATGCTAAACATTAAAAAAGTGTAAACTTAATTTCTGACCCCGGTTTCGAAGAGTAGCAATACGTCATAAACAGTAAAGAAAAAATGTGTTATTAATTGGCAAACTAAGATCACATATTAAGGAGTAATAAGGACAATTTACTTAAAAATCGTGCTAAAACTATAGTCATAATGCCAAAGGCCGTGGAAGACAAGGAGAATGAAAATATCATTTTTATGTATGTTGACAAAATGGCTCCCGAGGTCATATCCTATCTGAAATGAGCATTTTACCTGTAGAAAGTATAGTTACACCAAAATACATACTATAATATTTTTCGGGCTAAATTAGCATTTAAGAGAGCAACTCAAAATCTTGTGTTTGTAACATGTGGGGGGTCAGAAATTAAGTATACACCCTGTATAACAGTAAAAATAGATAAGAGTTGTTTAATTAAAATTATATAAATTGTCCTAATTTTAAAAATACTCACACCTTTTGTACTACATAGAAACTTCAGAAATGTAATTAAAAAGAGACAGTGTATATACATAAGTATAAACAGTTTTTTAAAAATGATTTTTAAAATCCTGAAAAACTACACTTGAAGTTAGGTAAAGTACTTGAAGTTGGGTAAAAATTTTTGAATAGCTGTAGAATCTTGAAACCTGGTGAAATTCTCATTCATTCAATTGAAAAAAAGTGTAACATGACATGAAAAATCTTTTTGTAAAAAAAATATTATAATTAAAGCCAATTTCAAAGTTGATTTATTTTTAATAGACTGTTTTATTTTGATCAAAGTTTTTAAATTGAATACCAAAAAAGAAATAGAAAAAATTGTTAACAAACGGCAACATTACTCCACTAAATAACTTTAGGTAATAATTGGAAAGTCATTTTAAAACCAGAAAATAGCTAGGTATTGTGATATTCGATAAAAAAGCTTATGACAACGAGATTTACAAAATTATGAATGATCCAAATAAACATTTAAAAAATGATGCTATCATTAAAAGGGAAACAAATTCAAAACTGTGTAAGAAAACCACACAAACTTCACAAAAAGATCTTTTGATTATTTGTTTCCAATCAATTGTACCAACTATTGATATTTACAATTACTATTTAGCTAGATTTCTTAAAGACTTTTTATTCCATGAACACAACATGAACTTATTAATAAAGGTCCTATCACCATTATTAAAAAAGATTTTGTATGAAATCAACCTAAATTATTTTTTTGATTCCATGCCATCTCAGATTTTATTGATTTTTTAAAATTTTATTCCAAACATTAGTAATTAAATCTTAACAGTTAAGAGATTTTCAATTTTTCTAATGTCAGTGAACAACTTAAATACATCAAAATGACACTAGCCAGCCAAGACAGCATCTGGAAAATTTCTTTATGCAGCAAGCCTTGAACTAGTGAAGGCTCTAGTTACAAATTTTATTGATTGTGTCAACAAATGTGTTGCACCATCTGAGTAGCTAATATAAACATCATGCCTATTCTAAAAGTCATTAACCCATCTCTCCCAACTGAATACTAATCAATCGCTACAACATCTGCAACATGCAAATTAGTTGAACGTATCCTTGATATATAACATATTATATCTAAGACATATTATATCATAAGTACAAGTATATATAAAATATATACAAGATTAAAGTACAAGAAACATACTATCTCTATATGCACAAGATATTTATAATAAAATAGTCAATTGAGTTTTCTTTCCAGAAGAAGCACAACTGATGCCGCCATACATTTAATAGATGAATGGGTATATGCAATTGATTGCAATATCTCTCTAACTGCAATATTTTTTGATTTTGCAAAAACATTTGGCCTATTGACCACTTTCTTCAACCTACATCATGGTTACTACCCTGGATTGCAAAGTGGCTTTAAAATTGTAAACAACAAATCATAATTAACAAAAATCCAATTGAATAGAAAGATGTGTTATCTGGAGGGATACAATGAGGCGTTCTTAATTCAATATTCTTTTTAACCTTTTAAATCTTTTTATACAAGGTAATAATCCTGGCGATGCAAAACTTGGTATCCTTCCCATTGATGAACATCTTGATGCTGTTTGTCTCAGCACACTTGAAGCACACTTAAACAAATTTTAAACCAAAACATCACACTAAATCTGTATAAGAACAATCATTCGCATTCCACATTCAAATTTAACAGCAGAAATGCAAAATCAACAATGTATTTAAACACATACCTTTTTTTATTTAATTTTATTCACCTCTTAATGGCCGAGAAGACCACTACAGTTAAGGAGACTACTTTATTATTTTTACAACCCTTTTTTCAACTCTTTAACTTTGAATCACAAACCTTGATGTACAAAGTCCCTGCGCCTAGAAATAAGTTATTAAACTAAAAACATTAAAATGCTGTATTACATTAAGGACATACAGTATCAACATGCATTAACCATCGAAATTTTCAGTTAATGATTAGCAGATGAACTATTAATGGATTACAAAAAATGTATTTTATGTTTGTAATAATACAGCTAACAAAATTATTGTATGTTTATTTGTAATACAGCTAACAGAAACTGCATAATACATCATTGCTTTTTGAATCCAAAATTTCATGACTTTACATCAAATTTAAAGTTTTTAATATTTTTGTAGTTTATTATATTTTTGTATTTACTATTATAAAATTTTCAATGCAAATAAATCAGATTAAAAATAAACATTACAAACTTTTTATATTGCGGAGCTAGTTACATACAGAACCATATATAAAATTGATACAATTTGCTCTACAAATGAACTTTTTTTAAAACTTAATAACTTTTTATTATGTTTTAGGCTATGAACTATTTTCAAAAAGAAAAAAAATGATTTTAACAAGATAAACTAATTAAATTCTTTTAAATTGCATTTGAAAAACAAAAGCAGTAACAACGTAATTGAAAATATTCAAAAAATAACCAATCTTTATATGGAAAAAAAGTAATGAAGTTTTACAAAATTAAAATAAGAAAAAACAAACAAAATTATATTTAGATAATTAAACAAACAACAAACAAAACATTAGCTTCCACTTTAGGGTTTATTTTTAAAGGATTTTACAAAATCCTAAATTTGACAACTTAAACAATAAAACTAGAGAAAATAAAGCTTTCAGTATGCAAATTATACTAAAATTATACTAAAAATATTTACTGACCTGCTAACTCCATTAACTGCTCAAGAGTATACTTGTAATCATTAATAAGCTCTACATCAATGTTCTGAGCTTCAACTTGATTTAAAAACTTCATGTTTCTACAGTTTAATTTGTATGGAAGAATTCGCACAGAAAGTAATGTTTTATGAAATGAAAATGTAATTGGTTTCAGAAAAAAACTAAAGAGTTTTTTGTGCATTAATCTGGAGGAAATAAATAGCTTTACATCAAGATATAAACAACGAATATACAATTATTTTACTATATTTTCAAACACGTATTTAATTAAGTATTTATTTAATAATAAACAAAAAATGTTTATATAAAAGTATTATATTTATATTTATATAAAAGTATTATAAAACTATAGAAATTATAAGTTAATACTTATTTAATGAAATAGGTAAAAGGTAAAAAATCTCGAGCGCAAATAAAAAGTGGGAAAGAAATTTTTATAACTTAATTATTTAGCAAAGAAAATAAATAATACACATAAATTTGCTCCAGACTGGCATAATAAAAAAATGGTCCCCATTGACTTTTTATTGCCCCCAGATAAATCCGGCTAATTTAGCAGATTTACGCACATTAAAAAAAAAAAAAAATTATTCAATTCAATCATTTTTTTCCGGTATTTCTTTCTTTCTTTTTTTTTTTTTTTTTTTTTTTTGGGGGGGGGGGGTCTTTAAATTTTTTATTTTAGTTTCTTACAAATAAACATTTGTTAAAACTGAATTATTTTTTAACATTAACAAAGATTAGCTTAGATTTAATGTTGTTAAGTTTAAGACCAGATACTATTTATTTCTGAATAATGAATCAGAAAATCATACGAATAAGCTCTAGTTTTTAGGCTGTGTTTCGACTTTACATTAATTTTTGGCTTTCTACATCCTTGTCATGACTTTCTACATCCTTTGTTTTGGGAGCCGAATTCACTGTAGCGTTTTTAAATTACAGTTAATTCCCGGTATGTCAAATACCGGTTAACTTTAACTCTTTTTTGTTTTTTATTTTATTTTATTTAGGTGCCCCAGGAAGTCCTTACGGTCTTATCACAGAGCATCGCGGATAAGCATTTATTTGCCTCCTTCCTAACCGATGTCGCAAAACTTACCCAGAGGTGGGGTTTGAACCACAGATCCTTTGTTTCTAAGGCGCAAGTGCGCTACCACTGCGCCACGATTGCTCCATCTTTTCTTATCTCGTTTTATTTGGTACCTTGAAATCACCTAAACTCCAGTTAAGTCAAACCTTGGATAACTCAAACTTTGTTAGGTCAAACCATTTTTTTGTCCCCTTTAAGCAAATTTCTCCCATTAACTTTTTGTAGGGAAATTAAGTAAATATAATAACTTAATTAAAAATTTTTTTAGGTGTCATATAAAACATAAATAACAGTAACCTTATATTGTATGAAAAGTAATTAGATCTGAATTGATTGTTATCAAACGTAGAACAGTGATATTATAAAACTGTTACAAAGTAAATTAAAATAACGTTAAAAAAGCAATTATTTTAAGGTTTTAATAAATTTTGCCTTTGTTTTTAATGTTAATAAGAAAAATATTGCTCATCTTTTTCAATATTGTTTTTGAATGTACATAGTACACTCAAAAACAGTATTGAATAAAAAATACAATACGTAATACAATACGTCTTTTACTGAAACATAATTCACTTTTTTGCTAGTATAATGATGTATATTAAATGTTTATACTTAAGCATTAACAAAAGAAAAATTGCCTTTACCCGAACTAATACCTCATACCAGCAAAAGTTTTGATTTGCTTTAGTGGAACATTTGTGAAGCCGAATCACTTTCCTTGACCCCTTTGAGGCTCAAGTTATCGGGAATTCATAGTTCTTTGTTTAAATAGACCTTTTCATAAATATCGACGGAAAAGAGAAATTATTTAAAGCAAGGCTGCGCTTATCAAATTTTTGTCTGGATCTTGTCCCACTAGCAACGACTTCATAATATTAGTATTTTGCTGAACAATGAAATAATTGTCTGAAATACTGTCTTTCAAAACCAAACGCTCAGTCGGAGTGAGTACACTTTACTGCGTCTATTTCTAAATTAGCCGATATATGTACACTCACTACCTTTATCACAAAATAGTTACACTTTTTTAAGATGTAATAGAGAACATGAAAGTTGAAATTAAAAAATTGCAATACCTAATTGAGAAACGCAACATATAATTTAGATATCGTAATTAAGAAACTGTAAAATGTAATTGAGAACCTGTAAATAAGCAAAATGTAACTAAGAATACATAAATTGTAATTTAGATATCGTAATATATAAACGAGAATACATAATTTGTAATTGCAAACTCACAATCTAAGCTTATAGGTTGTTATAAAAAGTCTTCTGGAACATTAATTTAAATAAGTTAATAATATCAAATTAAACACCTGCCGTAATAATGGAATTAAAAGATCGTTGTGTTATTTGTCAATACACTTTGACCTAACAGTTTGTTATTAGATTGAATTCGTGTCAGCATTTATTTCACTAAACTTGCTTACATCTAATTTTGAAACAATCTGAACCAATTTCCAATTTGTTTGAAATAGCTGCAACCGAAGATGAAAGAAAACATTACGCTTTGTTTTCTACAAATGACAGAAAAAGAGTATATATATATATATATATATATATATATATATATATATATATATATATATATATATATATATATATATATATATATATATATATATATATATATACACTGAGGCATATTCGTTTAGACGCATCAATTTTTTTCTCTTTATCTTAATTTTTTTCTATAAATTGTCCACTGATATGCATGCAAGTTTTTATCAAAATAAATGTTGTGTTGTGAGCTAATAAAAACCACAAAAAATTTTTATTCTATGTGTCTTTACAGGGTTTCTCACCTCATTTCGACAATGTATCACTACATTTTAACACTTTTGCATTCAATTTCGACATTGTATCACTACATTTCGACACTTTTGCATTCAATTTCGACACTGTTGCATCACATTTCGACAATTTAAAAACACTCTATTTTGAATTAATGTATTTATATTTATGATGAAAATTTGTGTTAAATAATAATGGGTTGAATTTAATCGGGACAATAAAATAATTAATGAGGCTATTTTTTTAATTCTGCATTATTATTTAAAGTGGGTACTGACATCACGAATATGGTTTCAATATTTTTTTGGATATACGTAAAATATATAGGTAAAATAAACAATGTGGATATTAATTATTTCAAGTTACCATAATAGTTGTTTCTAATTGCTATATTCATTATTTTTATTGACCGGATAAATTATGTCTAATTGCCAAAAAAAAAAAATCTACGCTTTGGAAAATATCCCAACAATACATAATTAAATTCTCATCAAAAAATAAATTAATGCTATAATTTTTTATTAAGTAAATAAAAGCGTTTGACTCTTCAATACAACAAGAGTTCATAATAAAAGCTTAAACATCATTTTCAATATTTATAAACAGCAATGCCGAATCAAACAATCAACAATATAAACCGTTCAAGGATAATTGAATCTTACTTAAATGGAAACTCACCATCAGAAATTGCAAATATTCGTGGATTTAAACGAACTACAATCTATTCGATTATTTAAAAATATAAAAATGGTTTGCCGATAGAATGGCAATTAAAAGGTGGTTCTAGAAACAAAAAATTTACAGAAGAATCCAAGGTACTAATCAAAAATTGAATTGATATGATAATTGTGGAATAACTCTTAAGGAAATTAAACAAAAACTTTTTGAACAAAAATCCATTTCAGTCAGTCAATCTACTAAAGCAAGATGCATTGATAGTTTTAATTATACTTTGAAACGTGTTCACAATATTCCAGAGAGAAGAAATTTGGAAGACGTTATTAATGAAAGAGCTTCTTATGCAGAAAGATTCATGAACATTTTGTCTTCTATAAATGACAATAAAATATTCTTTATTGATGAAGTAGGATTTAGTCTTTTAATGCGAGTTAGAAGAGGACGTTCTTTAGCTGGAAAGAGGGTCACACGAACAGTGACCAATATACGGTTAAGAAATATTTCCGTCTGTTGTGCAATGAACAAAAACGGAATTTTGAAATATGAAGCACAAACAAGAGCATTTAATACAGAAGGTTTTTAGATTTTATTCGTTTAGTATTAGCACAATTAGCTGTTAATGAAGTTGTTGGAGCTATCTTAATTTTAGACAATGTTCGTTTTCATAAAACTGCTGTTGTTCATAATGAAATAGTACGTGCTGGGCATTCTTTGATATTTTTACCTCCATATTCCCCGTTTTTAAACCCTATTGAAAATATGTTTTCTGAATGGAAACAGTTTATCAGAAGATGTTCGTCTAGAACTGAGGAGGAACTGCTTGAAAATATACAAAATGGTGAATTGAATATTACTAGCACAAACTGTAATAATTATTTTGCGCACGTATTGAGGTATATGATTCCGTGTTCAAGAAGAGAACCAGTTATTGAAGAATAAACTTACTTTTGTAATTTTTATTTTTATTAGCAAGTATTTGGAATTACAATACTTTATATACGATAATTTTTTTGTTTAGATTTTAGTTTGTATCCAAACTAAAAAATTATATTATCTACATGAATTTAGAAAGAATCTAACTGCTTTATTTGTATATTAATTTAAGTATTATTAACGCTGTCGAAATTGAATGCAAAACAGTCGAAATCAAATGCAACGGTGTCGAAATTGAATGAAACATTGTCAAAATGTACTGATACAATGTCGAAATTGAATGATACGTTGTCGAAATGAAGTGGGAAACCCTGTATTAACATGAGAGTATGTTTGATATACAAAAGCACATTTTTTAATTGGAATATATCTATTGACGCAATCAGGTTAATAACGGTAATTATTGGTTTTTTATCACTTTTACACAAATAAATTGATAAATTTTAGTGTAATTTGATCTTTTGCTCTGCCAGTATCATTTTTATTGCATTTTACAAAATGCCTAAAGAAAAGTATTTGACAGATGCTGATAAAATACAAATTAATTTATATCGTGGCTCAGAAATCTTACCAGCACTTTCTATACGAGAAATAGCAAGAAAAATTGGAAGATCTGACTATGTTGTACGAAACTACATTGCAAATGGTGACAATTACGGTGTAAAAAAGCAACAAACGGCAACAAAGTATTAACAAATTGGCAAACTAATC